TTACTTGGTGTTCCACCGAAAGGCATGCCTTAAGTGGCCTTGACTAAGTGTTTGTTTCTGGGCTCCAGTATTCTTTCCTTTTTCCAGTTCAATCTGAAACGTGCAGATGGTGGTATGGGAGAAACAGCTGAGGCAGGTGGGATTCCTGGGGCGGGGTGGTGGGAGGGGAGGCTTCCACTTGCAGGAATGGCCCCCATTTTGTTTCTTTGTGGATATCAGCATTAGTGTGTGTGTCATGCATTAGATTGCTTGTAAAGTCCCAGCACGGTAGACACTACATCTCAGCAGGCTGTTTGCTTGGTAAATAATTTAGGTAAAATACGTTTAGACTCCTTCAAACCATAGTTGTTGCTGCCTCCTAGGTGCGATTCAGGTTAAACCACCCAGGCTCTTTACGGGGATTTCCCGTAATTGGATTGAATTCCATCTCTGCTGGCTGGGTGCTTAGCTGCTGTAGGAAGAAAGGCAAAAAGGTGTTTCTTTGACTAAGAGTGTGGGGCTGTTCCCACAGTCTGTGGAATGAACTTTTTAAAGCGATTATTTCTTACCTGGGTTGTTTGGACAGCAGTAAGCATTTCTTTCCCTAAAATTGTAGCTGACCCTGAACATCACAGAAGCAGTTGGTAGAGGTGACATAAAAGTCTAGTATAAGCTGGGCTCGGTGGCTCAGCCTGTAATCCCGCGCCTTTGGGAGGCTGAGATGAGTGGATTGCCTGAGCCCGCGGGTTTGAGACCCGCCTGGGCAGTGAGACCTCATCTCTACAATAAATCAAAAAATCAGCCAGGCGTGGTAGCGCATGCCTGTAATTCCGGCTACTCGGAAGCCTGAGGCGGAAGGATCACCGGAGCCCAGCAGGCGAGGCACTGCACTCCAGTCTGGGCAACCGAGTGAGATTCCAACTCAAAAAAAAAAAAGTCTAGTATATAGGCAGATTTCTAAAGACCCTTCCAATGCCTACTCACACTTATCCATTTCTGTGGGTGATTCTCATGTGAGGAATTCCCCGGGAGCTTGTTACTCGGTCCCATGTTTTAGAGAGTCTTAATCAGTAGATCTCAGGTGGAGCCCAGGGGACTGTGTTTTCAGTAAGTGTTTCATATCATTTGAATGCAGGTGGGCCAGGGACCACATTCTGACCCAAACATTAAGAGAGAATACTTTTTTGTCTTGGCCAGTATTCTTGGTGTGCATTCAGGTCTGCAAACTCTAAGTTGATTTCAGAAAATATCAGCATTGAAGTTAGAGAATAGAATCTTATCTTCTTGTGGTTCTGCACCATTTTTTAGATGTGGATAATAAGACTAAGTGTATGACAGACACACGTTAAGATGCAAGTGATTTTCTTAATAGAAAGTTAGAGTCATAGAAATTTTTTTGAACATTTTATTTTTTTTATTTTAAAGATAGTGGTACAATTCAGGGTTAGGTATACAAATGGTTATTGTACAGGTAACATTTGGGTCTCCTGTTGGTCCCCACTTGGCCTGGTTTGAGATCAGGTTTCCTTCTTGATGTTGTGTCCTTGTCCCCTCATTCTCAACCTGGCAGTATCCCACTACTGCCAATACTTTTCTTCTCATTTTTTTTTTTTTTTTTTTTTTTTAGTCAGAGTCTCACTGTTTCACCCAGACTGGAGTGCAGTGTGTGCCACTCATGGCCATAGCAGCCTCAACCTGCTGGGCTCAGGTGATCCTTCTGCCTCAGCCTTCCATGGCCAGTCCCTTTCTTATAGTATGATGGTAAATGTTCAGGGTCTGCTCATGAGTGAGGACATGTGGTACTTAGTTCTTTGTTTCTGTGATAGATCACTGAGCATGATAGACTCTAAATCTATTCAGGTTGCTGTGAAGTCCATATGTTTCTCCTTCTTTATGGTTGTGTAATATTCCATCATGTATATATACCACATTTTTTTAATCCAGTCCACTTTTGATGGGCGACTTGGTTGGTTCCATGTTTTTGCTGTTGTGAATAGTGCTGTAGTAGACATGCATGTGCTGGTATCTTTTTCATAGAGTGATTTAAGTTCCTCCAGGTGTATGGAAGGGGGGTTGCAGGGTTGTATGGGAGGTCGAATTTTAGGTCTTTTAGGAATCACCACACTGTTTTCCACAGAGGTTGTACTAGTTTATAAGCCACAGAATTGTTAAGAGACACAAGAGCGAGCTGCAGGCACGTGGGCAGGTGTGCACATGAGCCCCAGCACATGTTCCCGTCAGAGTCTGAATACATCTGCTGTCCTCACTTAACTGGAACAAAATGTAAGTTAAAGCTCAGTGATGCTCGCTAGTGTTCTGTGGAAGCAGAACCGGAGGCCATTGTTCCAGACCCCTTGGTTGTGCAGATGCAAAAGCAATGACCCCAGGAGGACAGGTGTTTACACAGGTCACATGCAGGGCTGGGCCTCAGTCCCTCGGAGTGTCAGCGTCTCATCTAGAAAACAGCAAGAGACACAGCTTTGCCGCTTGGTTGTGGTGAGGATTAAATAAGATAGCTTATGTTAGGGTGTTTGGAAACTGAAGAGAATCATAGATGTAAATCCTAATTATGATGCATGCTGTGTTTTCTTCTAACTCAAGTATTTAGAACCATGCTGGGAATCTCTTGACGTGAAGTTACTAGTTGATTCTAGATCAATGACTACATGTCCTACTGGGTATTTAAAAAGCCCTCTTGTGGTCCTTATGGCGAACTTTGATAGTACAGATTATCAAAAGAAAGAAAATTTTTAATTATTCATAATCCTACCACACAGAGGATCACTATTAAAACTTGACATAACAACATCTAGATATTTTTCTTTCTTTCTTTTTGTTTTTTTTGTTTGTTTTTTTGAGACAGGGTTTTACTCTGTTGACCATGCTGGAGTACAATGGCATGATCATAGCTCACCACAGCCTCAAACTCCTGAGGGCAAGCAATTCTTCCATCTCAGCCTCCCAAGTAACTGGGACTACAGGCACGCACCACTGCACCCAGCTAGTTTTTTATAGATAAGAGGTTTTGCTTTGTTGCCCAGGCTGGTCTCAAAATCCTGACCTCAAGCTATCCTCCTATATCAGCCTCCCAAAGTGCCGGGATTACAGGCATGAGCCACCACATCTGGCCCAGCTTCTAGACATTTTGTTGTACATGCATAGATATTTTCTAAAAATCAGGTTATACTGGGTATTCATTCTGCTTTGCAGCCTGTTTTCAATTTTTTTTACTTAACAGTACATATATTGCAGATATTTCCTACATTAGTAATTCTATGCTATTTATTTACTGATTTTGAGTCAGGACCTCACTCTGTTGCCCAGGCTGGAGTGCAGTGGCACAATTATGACTCACTACATCCTCCACCTCCTGGGCTCAGGTGATTTCTCCACCTCAATCTCCACAGTAGCTGGGACTACAGGAGTGCCACCATACCCAGCTTATTTTTTTTATTTGTTGTAGAGACGAGGTCTCACTGTGTTGCCTAGGCTGGTCTCGAACTCCTGAACTAAAGTGATTCCCTTATCTTGGCCGCCCAAAGTGCTGGGATTATAGGCATGAGCCACTGTGCCTGGCGATGCCATTATTTTAAGTGATTGTATAGTATCCCATTATATGGACAAAGCAAAATGTAATCAGTCTCCTATTGGACACAGTCTTTTAAAGATTCTGTGCTTGTCAATGTTGTATAATTGCCGAAATAAGCATCTTTGAAGCTGAATCTCATACATGGCAATTGGGTTTCCTTGTTTACATTGGCTACTCAAAAAGTCAGAGCTCATGTTAGAGATGCTGCATTTACTGCATGAGCTCACTTTGAAATGAGCATCGACAATTTTAGATAATGTTATTTATTTTCATACCCAGAAATTCTAACTTTTATGTTTTGGGATCTAACCCACTTGAGTGTTCAGGATACCTTCTGCCAGTCTGCTTTTTGCTTCTTCTCAAAGCATGACAGTATTGACCTCCCTGTTTCTTCCGGACTCTGACTTTCCTTAAGCCAAACCATTTGCAGTTTGCAAGTGACCTTGTGGCGTAGCAATGCTACTCTCTCCCCCAAGAATTGCCTGTCCAGTTATGGCAAAGACTCTCCCTTTTATTAAACAAAGTTCATAATCAGTCAGGAGAGGGACCTTTTGCATTCTGAATTCTTAAAATTGTGCTTTCTTAAGTTAAATGGTATGTTAGGAGTATTTCTGATACAAAATTGGAAACTTTCAGTTACCAGAAGGCATTGCTTATCTTTGTAAATACACATGTTCCAATTAAAATAGGTACTAAAATATTTTTGTGGCACTTCAAAACTCCCAATTTAGATTTAATTTAGATTAAAACACTTACTCTTTTTAATAAAGTTATAAAATTGATTATTAAAATTGCCTATTGAAGAGTAAAAGCAATGAAACGTTTATTTTCCTTACAAAACAATTTAGTCTTCAATAAGTGTGATTGTATTAATCAATTACACTATTAAAATACAACTGCCATATTCAACCTGACTCATTTGTCATGACAGTTTCTATAATTATAGAAATTATACCTAGCTGTGTATATAGCCGTAATCCTGCCCTAAATATAAATAATTGTCTCTATTAATTCAGTTCACAGTTACTGTCTATTAAATCCTCAGTTAAATGGCAATTTGGGGACCTTCATTTAAAATCCTCCTGAATCTTTGTTGTTCCATCTGACTGCCAAAGCCCCACAAATGCACCTCCTACTGTTGATTCCAGAAACCAATTTATGAGCAAAATAGTTTTTTTAATACAAATATTTAAAAGGTCCGTTTAAGCTTGAGGTTTGAGGCTCAGGAAAAAAAAAAGAAAAGAGGGTGTTCGCCTGAGTGGAGGGCACTGACAAAAGAGAGAGAACAAATCTCTGTGCCCTGGTATGTATTTCAGTTTGGAAAAATAGTATATAAATTTTAGTTGGAAAATCTCTGCATGAAACCCTCTATGTAAACCCCAAGTACTGGAGTATATGGCTGAGTAACTATTCACAACTTGTATTTCCACAGGTGTGGATGAGGTCACCATCGTCAACATTTTGACCAACCGCAGCAATGCGCAGAGACAGGATATTGCTTTCGCCTACCAGAGGAGGACCAAAAAGGTACAGACATTTCCAGAGATGGAGGGCATTCCTCGCCGAATTTAATTTCCACAGACATTGCTTTTTCTTTTCATCAATTCTAGAACCCACTGACAAAAGCCTATTGGAACCCTTGCATCTCTGAGATGTTTTTCTTACATCTTTGTAAGAGTTCCCACTCACACATATGTGGCCACCGGATGCAGTGCTTGGGGGCTCATTTGTAAAGACAGCATCCTCCTCCAACAGACTACCAGGAGGGAGCAATTTTGGGAATTGGAAATTAGAAAGGAATAGGGAATAACAAGGACGACAGCAGTGATAGGTATCATTCTGTGAGCGTTTACTTTGTGCCAGGCACTGTGCTCAGTCTCTACATGGAACAATCCATTTCTTTGTCATGACTTCTGTTGGCTTTTGATAAGGCGTTTCTCATTTAATTGTAGGACACTACCCTCTGTTGAGTGCTGATCCTAACATATTCCTCTCATTCTTCAAATATGTACTTGAATTCTTAAGCATTTCACAGCGAATAAGCTTAACTGAGAGTCCATTCGATCTGCAAGGCTATCTTCCCATGCCGTGCTTCCACGATGTAAAGAGTCTTTGTGAGCTTTTCCCTTTGCCTGTCCACCGGGGGTAGGGAAACAACCGGTGCTTGTTCATCTTTTATTTTGTCGCAGTGCTAGGAAATTTTATTTTTAAGGATGTGCTGCTTTATTTTTAACTTCTTGCTATTAAAAGCTTTTGATTTATTCTTGGACTGCACGGTAAGTGTGGCTTCCTGCAGCTCTCATTTGACTTACGGCTTTCACTCGCAGCCACAGCAGAGGGGAGCTGGAGGGATTCCAGAAAAGACATCTCGTCCCTGGGGCTGATGTGACCACCAGGGCTCTGGGAGTGGCAGGTCAAGCCTTGCTGTAGCCTCCCTTCCCCACCTTCCAAAACAGTTGGAAAGGACCTCAAAAGGAAAGCATCTGGCTTCTTTAGTCTTGTGTGCATTAAAAATCTTCTTCCGTGAGTCTTTTTTTTTTTTTTGAGTTGGAGTCTCACTCTGTCACCTAGGCTGAGTGCAGTGGCATGCTCATGACCACTGCAGGCTTGATCTGCTGGGCTCAGGCGATCCTTCTGCCTCAGCCTTCCAAGTAGCTGGAACCACAGGCACGTGCTACCACACCCATCTAATTTTTAAAATTTTTATTGTAGAGATGAGGTCTCGCCAAGTTGCCCAGGCTGGTCTTGAAGGTGTGGGCTCAGGCAATCCTCTCACCTTGGCCTCCCAAAGTGCTGGGATTATAGGCATGAGCCACCACGCCCAGCCTATGAGTCTTTTTTTTTTTGGAGTCGAAAAATCTCATCATTGCTCAGGCTGGAGTGGAGTGGCACACTTATGGCCACAGCAGCCTGAACCTGCCGGGCTCAGGTGATCCTTCCGCTTCAGCTTTCCAAGTAGCTGGAATTACAGGAACATGCCACCATGCCCGACTATTTTTTTTGATTTACTGTAGAGACAAGGTCTTGCCATGCTGCCCAGGCTGGTCTTGAACCCAGGGCTCAGGCAGTCCTCTCGCCTCTGCCTCCCAAAGTGTTGGGATTACAGGCGTGAGCCACCGTGCCCAGCCTTCCAAGAGTCTTATATGAATCTTCTGTAGTGAGGCATAGAGGGGAGTGCTTTATTTCTCCAGCCTTCCCCAAAGGATCTGTGAGCTGGTAGAGCCAAGTTCCCACTGGAGCAGAACGACCTCCTCTTTGGATGGCAGGCAAAAAATGTCACAGAATGTGGTCTTGGGATACACGACACATACATACAAGTGGACACACAGATATAGAAACCTGGATCTTGCTCTCAAATGGGATATATGGAGAACAAAGCTCCCAGACCTTGTTGAAGTAGAGATATTACCAGAATCATAATGGGGTCCAGCAACCTCACAGACTTTGCTGTGTGCTGGAGTAGCTCACCGTGCTCCTGATCCTTGATGGTCAGCCTTGGACCAAAGAGAATTGCCCTCATTTACAAAAAGATACATAAACAACTTTCAGTTTTTCCTGAAGACAATCCTAGACGCAGGGCCTGCTGGTTTCAAATGAGTTGTCTGCAAAATAAAGAAGAAAGGTGTACACCACAGAGTGCTTCAGGGCTGTGGTCTGAGCTGCCTGTGTGCCTATGGGAGGAGCTTGAAGAGCCTGGGCCCGTGAACAGAGCAGAGGGGAGCTGGGAGAGATGGCTGATGTGATGTTTCTTTCGTGTTCTGGGAGAGGCCAGGTGCTAGGTGTCGCCACAGAAGGAATGGTTATGTTTTATTTATCAAACACTTCTGGAGCTTTTGTTAAGGGCAGAGCTCTGTGCTGGACGTTTTGAGAAACAGGAAGTTGAACGCCCATAAGGAGTTCAGAATAGAAGTGGAAGAAGTCAGTCGGTGCCCAGGTGCTGTTTGAGGTTTGAACAGAGAACGGGTAGAGGGGGGTGCCACGGGGAGGCTAAGTCTGGAGTTACCTAACCTCAAAGTTCCAAATTGGGAGATGGCTGTTATAATTGGGAGGTGTTGCTTTTAAAACCCCCTCCTAAGTGCTATGTGTTCCTAGGACATTGGGAAGCAGGAGAAGGTAGGTGGCGAAAGGCTTGGGACAGATGATTTCTAAGATTCGGGTCTAGCACTCTACATCTATGAATGACTCGAGATGATTGTCTCTGAAGCAGGCTGCAGATCACTTCTCATAGGCAGCAAGTACCTTTAGGGCTAAACATTGTGATGCTGTGGGTGTTACTAGAGAAAGAAAGAAGGGACAGAAGATAAGGAAAATGAAGAGAAGGAAGAAAATAATTACAGTAAGAGAGTTTGGTTCTCACCTATGATTTGTGGGATGTTTAATCCCCAGGGAAGCATCTCTGGAAGCCACGTTGAATTTGGGGTGTCTGACTATGTCCAGGGGTGCCAACTCAGACCTCTGACGTATATCCTGTGTCCATGGTGACAGCAGAACCCTTAAGAAGTTGTCTGCAGCAAGGAATTCAAGGGTGTTATCCAGGGATGTTAGTTTCCCATTACCTCCATTAACACCGTCCCAATTTGGTGTGGGCAGAGTATCAGATGAAGTGTTTTGCATGGGGAGAGCTTTGTGACCCTGTCTCTGGCTATGTTGGGGCCTTGCGTTCCTTCTGGCGACTTTGAGGAGCCGCGCCTGCAGCGACTGTCCAGATATCTCAAAGGACGTCAGCAGGCCATGGGGACTGCTTCCTGGGAGGCTCTCCACTTGAGCCCCCCTCCTCAGCAGGGGCCAGATCCCGGAAAGCACCCCGTCTTTCATGGGTGCTACCACTTTTAGGCCTCAAGTGCCTTCACACTTACAGCTTTCTGGGGGAACTGCATGCCATGCCCATTTCCCTTTAATCATATGGGGCGAAGGCAAAATCAGCTTGGATTGGAAAAGGTTTTGGTAAAACAACGCCTGGTCTTTATGTTTCTGACATCTGGGTCTGCAGAGGACAGAGACTCAAGGGAGTCTGACCCAAGACTCCCGAGTGATGAAAGACCCACAACCTGCTTCACACGCAGATGCTGCTTTTGTTTTACTCGCCAGTTCGAAAGTGAATATTTGTCACCCACCACGTTTTCCATATGATTGCCTGTTTTTCTGAAGGAACTTGCATCAGCGCTGAAGTCAGCCTTATCTGGCCACCTGGAGACAGTGATTTTGGGCCTGCTGAAGACACCTGCTCAGTTCGATGCATCCGAGCTAAAAGCCTCCATGAGGGTAAGTGCGTGTGAGATGTCATCTCTGTCACATCTGCTGCTGATATTTGTGAATTATAGCCTTCTGAGTGTGATTTGATGATTTTCAGTTTTGTTGAATTCGTATTTGAAACCCCCCCCCTTTTTTTTAATGAACTGAAACGATAAATCTCAGAATCTGCACCAAAAATATTTCAATGACTCGTTGTAATGCTGTAAAGAAATTTCAGGATGCTGAGAAGTCAGTTGCCAGCTGCTACTACTTGGCACCTGGCAATTGGAATACCATTTGGGAAAACTACTTCCTTGATTACACTTCCTCCTTTAAAAAGATATGTTGTGATGTTAAGGCAAAAGAACTACTCCCAGCTTTTGTTAAGTGAAGCTAGCAGATCCTGCCCATACTCTCATGGGTGCTTCTTCCTGGGAGCCTTTGTTTGGCTTAAATTCAGGCAAAATCAGAGCACCACGGTGCACGTCAGGGGTGGCACCTGTGTTTAGGTCAAGTCTTGTGGCACTTGTTTTGTTTTTCTTGTGCACGGTTATTTTGAACATGGAATTTTAGGTTAAATTAGATAGCACAGATTTCAAGTTGGGAAGCCCTTGAATTTTGTGCATGCCGAAAACATCGAGTTTTATATACATGTGTGAGATGCATAGACATAAATGTATTACAGCAGGACGCGTGGATACTTTTCGTGTGCGCCCCCAGCACTTTGGATAGTCCGACACTGCCCTCTGCTGATTTAACTGGGTAAAGCCTCTGCAGTAGTGTGGGAAGCCATATTTCTGGTATTTGATTCGTAGTCTGAGTGCATTTTTTGTGATGCCACTATTCCTGAATAATGAACAGTCTGAGCTGAAAGCCTGTCACCAGAGCTAATGTCACAGTTCAGCTGTCATCCTTTCCACAGAGAACACCTCAAGAGTGAGGCTGCTTCACACACTGGGTGTCTCCAGAGCCCCAAACTTTGTAGCTCAGGGCTGCTGAAAGATCTGTTGTGAAATCTCTCTTTTCCTTCAGTTTTTCAGCTCAGCCCAAGCTGTGATCTGTCTATTTGAGTGGACTGGCTCCGGGTTTCCTAAGCAGGCTACATTGCAGGGAAGGTATAATTAGGAATGATCAAATGTCAGCAACCTTTAATGATCCTGCTTGATAAAAATAGCATTCCTGAAAACTGAGTCTCTGGACCTTGGAGGCATGGGTGAACCCACCTCTCCTAGGTTTCTTCTGACCATCAGCACTTCAGATCAGTTTATCTGATTTCCTGGAGAATCTATTCAGTTGTGATTTGTGTGCTAATTTTACCAGTATCTATTACTAGGTATTAGTGACTCGAAACAGACCAGTTAGTGCTGTCAGTCCCCAGTGTAATCTATGTAATTGGGCCCGATGGAAGGTGCTTTAACTGCGGAATCTTTGACCCAGTGCCAGCTCTTCCATTAGGTCTCACAGTTGAGTACCCTTCTGAAATCCATAAAGCTTGAACTGACATTAACTGAACTATGCTTTAAAAAAAATCTGTTTGACTTCTGGCAATACCAGTGGCAGTCTCTGCCATATGTTACTGTAGAAGTTGCCCTTGTGATAGGAATGGTGGACAATCTGTGGACAGCTTGGGCCAAGCTTCGGGAACTGCCAAGGTCACCTTTGAATATGGAGATAAAAGCACTATTAGAATTTTCAGATATCACCACTGGTAAATCAGTGATGGAAGGAAACAAATCTTGCATTATTCTGCCCGTCTGGCATTTCTGTGATGTCAGGAACTAGCATTTCTTCCAGGGCACGAGTTATTTTTAGACTATATTTCTATCATCCTTGAGATTGCAAAACTGCCCCTTTCTAAAATATTCAAAGATGCTCGTTTGTCATATTATAGCATGTGTATAGAATGCTGTGTGGACCCCTGGCTAGCAAGGGGAGAATTTTTGGCTTTGCTGGAACCTCTACAAGTCATGATTACAAACTCTGAAAGAAGAGCCATTGGCTCAAGGATTAGATTGAGAATAAAATTCAAAATGAACCATTCACCTGAGGCTTAGCTTATATTACACAAACTACTTTTTCAGGGGCATATAAGCTCTAATAAGTTTAATTAATAGCTGACACACTTTTCATGTGGATAAGTAAGTTTCTTATTGTATTAACACCTTATAATTGATTTACATTTTAAACAGTTGTAATTCTATTTAGTTCAAAGTGATATTTCCATATTCGAAAAGACATGTATTAAAGAATCCTGATTATTAAATCTTGACTTTGATCATGAAGCCAGCTTTGAAATCCATGTTTCATTGAGTCCTTTCAAGCTGTCTGGCACGCTCAAAAGTGTGTATATTAAATTTGAATACATCACCCATCAAATTCTTATTCCTTAATAAAGTGTTGGTGTCTAGGTTTATTTGGCACATTATTATTCCCTTTTGCTTCCCTAAAATGCCCGAAGAGTGCATAATAATCAAGCAAAAGTGGAAGTCCAGGAATGAAATTTTTAACATTAACCCAATTTTACATTTCAAAGAGGTACAGCTAAAATTTGTATCTTAACTATACCTTTCCCTGGTAAGAAGACTTACTCTACTCTAACAATGCTGGCTACAAAAGACAACAGACAATTTCTATATTCCTTTATTTTAAATCAGAGACAAGAATTGTGTAGTGAGGCAAATTCTCATCTGTTAAAATAATGGATGGAAAAATAAAAATGAGGAGAAAGAAAAAGTTACCTTATAAGCCCATCACCAAAAGGCAGCCTCTTTGGACATTCTGGTATGGAGTCATTGCTGCCTCTTCCCATTCCCTACCGCATGTATATTTTTTAGCAGAATTGAACTCAGAAATGCCACTTGTACCATTTGTGTTCTGGTGAAGCATTCTTTCAAGTAATAGAAAATACCATTCTTTTGTGCTGAGGGATAGCGCTCAGATTCTTTTAGCAGGAATGTAGGAAGGAGAATGCTGATAGACCCAAACTATGTTTGTGTTTTCCTTAATGGAGATCGGAGAAGCAGGCTAGTGGCGGGGGCCTCTTTCCCTGCTGATGTTTGTGCTTCCTGGTTCACAGGGACTGGGGACCGATGAGGACTCCCTCATTGAGATCATTTGCTCCAGGACCAACCAGGATCTGCAGGAAATTAACAGAGTCTACAAGGAAAGTGAGTAGCCCTATTTTTGTGACTTATCCTCTCAACCCAATTTCTACCTGGGTACCTGGGTTCGTGTTTGGGATCAGATGCCCAGATTGTAGCTGTGCAGACATGCCCACCATCTTGACCCTGTAGGTGAAGCGGGCCATAGTTCCGGTCTCTCTCCATCACCTCCTCTTAGCCTATGGAGTGTTTATTACATTCCATTAGAACTTCAGCAAAAGAGTAAACAGAAGAGAAAGCAATGTGTATTTTTATAAAAAGACCTGATGAGAAGTAGAGAGTATCATATACGGAGTCCACTTACTGGGTGCTGTTTGGTCTCTTCTTAAGAGGTTCCCAACTCTGGACTGTGGATAATTGGAGAATTATTGACAAGAGAACCCTGTAAACCTGTGTGCACTCAACAGTATTGGAGGCTGTGGGCAGAATAAATAATGCAACTTCCATTGCAACTGCCATTTTTTTTTTTTTGAGTTGGAGTCTCACTCCGTCGCCCAGGCTGGAGTGCAGTGGCATGCTCACGGCTATCCCAGTGTCGGTCTGCTGGGCTCCAGTGATTCTTCCACCTCAGCCTTCCATGTAGCTAGAACTATAGGGGCACGCACTACCATGCCTGGCTAATTTTTTGATGTATTATAGAGATGAGATCTCACCGTGTTGCCCAGGCTGGTCCCGAGCCTGCGGGCTCAGGGTTCTCTCTCTCTTACCTTAGCCCCCCAAAGTGCTGGAATTATAGGCTTGAGCTACCATGCCCAGCCACAACTGCCTTTTTAAAAAATAAATATATCATAGTTGTACTCATTTTGGGGGTACATGTAATATCTTGGTGTATGTATACAATGTGTAATCATCAAGCCAGGCTTATCAGGATATTACCTTACACATGTGTCTTTTCTTTGTATTAGAAATACTACAATTCTCTAGCTACTACATTTTAATATGGATGCTATTTTGAATATTGAAATACAAATTAATTATAAAGTATGATTGAATTCTTACTAGTTTTTGCCAGTGTGCATTTTCTCAATCAGTGGATAATATAGCACAATTATGTGTGTGCAGCCCTTCATACTTTTTGATGTTCAAAGTGAGAATTCATGGTCAGGAAGGTTGGGAACCAGTATTTTAACTACAAAAGAGGTCACTGATCAAAGGTGAGCCTGAGGATCCCCGATTTGATCTAGCCCTGCCTGCTCCTTGTCACTGATAATGAGTCCGGCTCTGATTTCATGAGGGTCAACTCATTCTGGAGATCCTGCCCTCAGCATGGGGCTAAGGAGCGTGGACACATCCCGCTGAACCAGCTGCTCTGCATTTCAGTCTTAGTGGGAAAGGGGGAACTTGGGTAGGGGGCGGCTGGCTGCACGGGCAGGAGGCATAAGGCCGGATGTGTTGTTTTCCCAGTGTACAAGACCGACCTGGAGAAGGACATTGTTTCCGACACATCCGGAGACTTCCGCAAGCTGATGGTTGCCCTTGCCAAGGTTGGTTTCTCGGTATATTCCTCTCCCCTTGCTTCCTCCCAAGGGAAGTCACCGCCTCATTTTATACTTGGGAGTGAATTAACTAAATCCTCTGTGCCTGCATCAGAAATTCAGCTGTGTTTTCAACAGCGGGTTTGCACTGTCAGTGCAGAGTTGTCATTTTTGTGTAATAGGATTTCTTATCCTGTGAGACCACATGGGCAGGTGGACTTTGAGGGGGAGCTGGCGACTCTCAAGTCCTGGCCTGGGTTGGTGTGCCCACCCAGGCTGGGTGCCCTAGGGAAGGTCACTCTGCCTCTATCTGTGCACGCAGGACCCTGTGGGAAGTGACCTTGTTTCTTTCACCTGTTCTCCCATCTTATGGAGAATTTGCCCATGCAGCCCTTTGTCTGGAGGGGGATCTGTGTGGAGCTGATTGCTGATGTCGACCCATTTACATGGAGGAAGGGTGTTGCCTCTGGGTATCTCTGGTTCTGGGCAGCGTAGGGAGGAAGAGAAGCTATTTTCTCTGGACACCCTGAGAGCGAATGACTGAGAGTGCCTGGTGTCCCGGCCATTCACGTCTCTGTTACGGTCACAACTCCCATGCCATCCTCGCTGGCACACCTCTCCCTCCACCACCGCCCTGGGTCCCGCCACCCACGGATCTTTCTGAAATTCATTCTCACTGTTTAACTTCCCTCTTCCAAACCTATTTCTACTGAGTCAGATCTAAACTCTCAGCCGCCTTTAAGGTCCTTTGCCCCCAGCCCACCCTCCCTTCGTCTTCACTTGGCCATGCCTCCAGCTTAGCTCTGCTGTGATGGGCCGCACCCCACGTGCCTGGGAGTGTGCTCTGCTTCTGCCACCATCCCCCTCCACGAGCCACACCTGACGCGGCTTCCAGGTTCAGGCTCTTTGCCTCACCCTGGTCCTCACCCTTTGCTGACTCCCTCCTTCTGAGCGTTCTCTCTTTTGTGCATTTCATGCCATCTTCGTGCCATGGATTACTGTGTGGTTTCACCATTTGTTCCATGCTTCTTTCTCCATCTGGATCGTAAACTCTCTGAGGAAAAAACGAAATCTCATTAGCTTTTTTTTTTTGGCGGGGGCATTCTGGAAGGTGCTTAGCCCAGGACTGGACCCCAAGATGGTGATGGCAAAGCACAGCCCCCACTTCCCTACCTCAAACATTTCACCATTCCTTGGTCATGTTAGGTGAAGGAAAGCTTGAGGTGGTGGCTTGTTCAGGAAATGAAGTCATGGCTTACATGGGTTGAGGAGAAAACACGTTCAGTTTTAACATATACAGAGAAATAGATTTGATGTTCTTCATTTTTTTCTGCAGGGTAGAAGGGCAGAGGATGGCTCTGTTATTGATTACGAACTGATCGACCAAGATGCCCGGGTAAGTGCCAAGCTTTTTGGCTTGAGTTTCTGTTTTCTGGTAAGTCTCTGGATTGTCTGTAGTCATCTATTCCAGTGTAGCGAATTGTCCCCAAGCTTAGTGACTTAAAACTTAAAGGCGAGCCTGAGGATCCCTGATTGGATCTAACCTGCTCGTTCCTTGTCACAGATAATATTGACTTCTTGAGGGAAAACTCATTGTAGAGAATCCTTCGTCAGCTTGGGGTTAAGGAGCATGAATATATTCGACATTTATTATCACTTAGCTTCTGTGAGTCAGGAATTTGGGAGTGGCTTAGCCAGATGGTTCTGGCTCAGAGTCTCTCCTGAGTTTGCAGAGAAAATGATGGCTGGGACCATTGTCACTGAGGGCATTACTGGGTCAGGGAATCTGCTTCCAAGATGGTGTACCCACATGCCTGTTGTCAGGAGACCTCTAGCCCGCAGTCAGTGGAAGCCTCCACCTTTGGAAGGGAAGAATGTCAAAAAATTGGTGGCCGTATTTTAAAGCCACCACTGTTGGAGAGCAATATTTATTAGAAGATATTCCCTTGTAATGCTGGTGTTAATGACAGGGTCAATACCTGACTTGCACATGCCCGTTCAGGCCTGGCTTGCATGGAGGGGCTGGTTTCTACTGGGTGTGATTTGGCTGCACACTGGTGTGCATGCGTGCACACATAGAGCAGACAGTGCAGAAGCAACTGGGGACAGCAAGGATTATTGGTCCGTGACGGTGGGGCACAGGGGAGGGAGCAAAGGCCTGCCCTTCTCTTCTGGCTGAATAGAACTTTGCCAGTTCTGGTTCCACGGTCTCTGAGATCTGTTTGCTAAGCTTGTTCAGCCTGCTGTGAACTGGGCCCCTTACTCTGGGGGTCAGTAGTTAGAGCATGTTGTAAAACCTACTGAGAAAAATGAATTTCAATTCACATTAATTTTAAAACTCAGTACATTCCACATGGCACTTTCAGCTGGTGGCAGAGAAGGGTCTTAAATAAAGTCAATTAAGGTTGAGTTTTGCCACTCCCGGAGGGCGGATGATCGCTGAATTCACAGCTCCCTGGCATGATCCCTCCTTCCTCTCGCCCTTCCCGCCATTGTTAACATGATTTGTGGCCCCTGAATTTTCTGGAGACTGAAAATGGGATTGGGCTGGCGCCTTTCCCAGCTCCATTGTGTCCCGAGTCTGCAAAGCTCCCGAGTGGGCTTCTGATAGTAGCTGCCTTCAGGAAATGGCCACTAGCTTGCCTGCTACTAAATATGCCGAGAGAGAGGAGGGCCGGATGTGCTAGTGGATGGCTGCATGTCCTTCTCCACATGAAGAGATGCTCTCGGCTCTTCCTTCTTTGTATCTTTTTGATTGGGGTCTCACTCTGTCACCCAGACTGAAATGCAGTGGCAGGATCACGGCGATCGTGCCTCATGGCAGCCTTGATTTCCTGGGCTCAGGCGATCCTTCCACCTCAGCCTCCTGGGTAGCTGAGACAACAGACAAGCACCACCCCAGCTAATTTTTAAACTTTTTTTGTAGAGATGAGGTTTCGCTGTGTTGCCCAGGCTGGTCTTAAACTCCTGGGCTCAAGCGATCCTCCTGCCTCGGCCTCCCAAAGTGCTGGGATTACAGGTGTGAGTCACCGTGCCCGGCCTCCATCCTCCTTTTCTTGTTCAGAGAAGGCGATTGTGTGGCACTGACCTTGTGAACAGTCTGCAGTCTCGTGTCATATCTGTCAGTGCCTAAGGAAGACAGCTTGTGATGCAGGATTTTGACGTATATAGCATGCTTTTGCCCATGTCTGCAGAGCAGTCCACTCTTTCTCATGTGGCGTTTTGAGTAGCTTTCTGTGTGTTTCTCGCACGACATTTTTTATGACCTTGTTGTGGATGGTGTAGTTACTTTTGGTTGGTTGTACTCACAGGATCTCTATGATGCCGGAGTGAAGAGGAAAGGAACTGACGTTCCCAAGTGGATCAGCATCATGACCGAACGGAGTGTGTGCCACCTCCAGAAAGGTGGGTGCTGTGCTGAGGGAGTCTCTGTGCCAAGGAGCTCTCGGGTGGCCTGGGGAAAGTCTGTGTCGGGGCTCCGGTCTGCCAGAACAAGGTTCACTCTCATTTGGCACTCTCTTGGGTTCACCCTTGTTTCCTCATCAAGTCCATTTGCCCTCCTCTCCCATTCTGGATCCTTCTCTCCCCTAAATAGTTTCTGTGTTTGGAGTTTTAACTCGCTGTCCTTTCTCGTCTGATGATCATTTTATCTTGCCATATTTGTTGATATAGTGGACTTTGCTGGCTGCTACGTACTGTTTCTCATGGCTTCCAGATGGAATGGGTTTCACTCAGGGGAGGTGAAGATAGTCAAAACATGTAGCCTGGGCAATGTCACTCAGGACAGGTGTGCATGGTATGGCCATTGCAGGACAAACTGGTGCATTGTTGGCTCAGGTCATCATGGCACCCTCTAACCTGCGAGGATGCTATGATCATCCTCCATTTTTTTTGAGACAGAGTCTTACTCTGTCACCCAGGCTGGAGTGTAGTGGTGTACGCATGGCTATCCCAGCCTCAACCTTCTGAGCTCAGACGATCCTTCTGCCTCAGTCTTCCAAGTATCTGGAACCACAGGTGCGCACTACCACGCCTGGCTAATTTTTTGATTTATTGTAGAGATGAGGTCTTGCCGTGTTGCCCAGGCTGATCCAAACTCCCAGGCTCAGACAATCCTCTTGCCTTTGCTTCCCAAAGTACCGGGATTACAGGCATGCACCACTGTGCCCGGCCCATCTTCCATATTTTAGATCATGGTGCGTAGCTGTGTGGGTGATCATTGACAGCTTTGACTAGTGACACTGATCTGATGATTACTTGTCGCTTTTCCTTAGTATTTGATAGGTACAAAAGCTACAGCCCTTATGACATGCTGGAGAGCATCAAGAAGGAGGTTAAAGGAGACCTGGAGAATGCTTTCCTGAACTTGGGTAAGCAAGTATGGCCCCTCATCCCTGGTGGACTTCAGCTCTCAGTGGACAGTGCTGACACAGAATAACACAGGGCCGTCCTCTGCATTCAAGTGTGTTGGGAAGGTGTGGCTTCTGCGTATGCTTCGGGTAGTTTTATCATCCTAATCACATACATTTAGGGATATAAAATGGAAGAAGTGCTTACACTAATAAGAAATTGCTGCCAGGGAGGAATAGGATAGCAGGAGAAGAGAGGGTTGTGTTGGGAAAACTCACATGTGCACTCCAGGTTTCTGCAGCCCTGAGTCCCCTGTCTTAAAACCTCAGCATCACTTGGCATTTCAGAGGATTCCTGGGCTTCCCTCAGCCTCTCTCATTTTGTATCCCACTTCTGCTGTATCAGGTCGTTTCTGGTTTGCAGCCAGGTCAGGGCATCCCCTCCCGCTGATGGGACAGAGACGAGCAGATGTGCCCTGATGTCCTCTCTTCTCTCCACAGTCCAGTGCGTCCAGAACAAGCCCCTGTATTTCGCTGACCGGCTGTACGACTCCATGAAGGTAAGGGTGCCTGGCGGAGAGGTCTGTGTTTTCACATTGGGCTTTTTCTTGTGTGCCCCAACTAAGTCTCCTTGCCTAGTGGCTGGAGGAAGGGACCCCACTGTCTGGACACAGAAGCACAGCAGTGTTTACATTTGACAGATGAGAAAACCACACATTTGTCTTCTCTCTCCCAACTGTGTGAGCCAGTGTGTGCACAGGTAGAAGTCAAGTGCTATGGGAGAGAGTGAGAAATGGTCGGCGTGTCTGACCTCTGCTCATGGGTTTTAATGGCTTTCTCCTATTATCCCTAGAGTAATGATGAGTGAGAAAGGGAGAGAGTATTAAGCACCCACTGTATCCTGGACATGTGGTACTATTTTATCTTAAATCCTGGCACAGGCCAGGCTCGATGGCTCAGCCTGTAATCCCAGCATTTTGGGAGGCTGAGGCGAGTGGATTGCCTGAGCCCATGGGGTTGAGACCAGCCCGGGCAACTTGGCAAGACCTTTTCTCTACAATAAATAAAAATTAGCTGGGTGTGGTAGCGCATGCCTGTAGTTCCAGCTACTTGGAAGTCTGAGGTGGAAGGATCACCTGAGCCCAGCAGGTAGAAGCTGTGGTGGCCAGGAACATGCCATTGCACTCCAGGCTGGGTGACAGAGTGAGACTACAACCAAAAAAAAAAAAAAAAAATTCCTGGCACAGCAGCCTCCAAGGCTTATGTGATTATCTTTTTGTAGATGAAGAGACTAGAGCTCAGAGAGCCTCAGCCTGCTTGAGGTTACACAGCTGGATTTGAACCTGGGTCTTGCCAACCCCAAAGCCTGCCTGGCAGCTCTCCCTTAAGTGAACCATCTCTTCCCACAGACCTCTCCTGTTTTCTCTACCTCAGACATGCCTGGTGTCTTTTGGCTTCCAGGCTTTTGCCATTTCTTCCTAGAGCCCCTTCCTTGTCCACACCGGCTCTCTCATCTCACTTCAGACTCCACATCACATGTGACCCCTTAGTGCCTCTGGTCTGAGGCTATGGACATGAAGTCAGTGGCCCTCACTGCCCATACCATTCACAGCGGCCCAGGCCATGATGAAAATGTGTTGGCACGCCCTCTCCAAGTCCTTGAGAGTCAGGAAACCTTGTGTCACATATGAAAACTCACGACTCCTTGAGCCGAGTCTTGCGGCAGTAGGTGCTCAGTCTGTGTTTACTGAGTGAAGGCATCGAGTAGGAGTTTGTGCTGACTAAATCCTGGGGTGTTTGGAATGCCAAGAGGCCCATTTTTCTAAAGGAGATAGTTGCATTTGTTGTGTTTGCAGTCCCTTAGAAGGCAGCATCCAGAGTCCAGATCAGTTCCACATGCAAGAAAACTTACTGCAGGCTGAGTGTCCCTTGTCTGAAATGCTTGGGACTGGAATGTTTTGTATTTTTCATTTTGGAATATTTGCTTATTCATAATGAGATGGGACCCAAGTCTAAACTTGAAATTCGTTTATGTTTTAGATACACCTCATACACGTAGCCTAAAGGCAACTTCATACAATATTTTAATAATTTTGTGCGTGAAACAAAGTCTGTGTTGAGTACGTACGTGTGGGATTTTCTATTTCTGGCATCGTGTCGGGGCTCAAAATGTTTCAGAATCTGGAGCATTTAGGGTTTCAGATTTTCAGATCAGGGATGCTCAACCAGTAGGCTGTCTTTTAACAGTAACATTGTCGGCGAGTTTTCACCTGGAATATCAACTTAACTTTCAGGGCAAGGGGACGCGTGATAAGGTCCTGATTAGAATCATGATCTCCCGCAGTGAAGTGGACATGCTGAAAATTAGGTCTGAATTCAAGAGGAAGTACGGCAAGTCCCTGTACTATTATATCCAGGTGAGACCTGGGGTGCTGTGTCGGTCTGCCCTGCCATCCAGAGGGTCGTGGGCCCCAGGCAGATGGCCTGGTGGGATGATGGCAGGATGGGGATATTCTGTTTCCTGACTCTCCAAGGAAGAGATGCTGGTCGCGTCAGATATCAGTAATTTATTCTGAAAGTACCATTTGCGATTTGTCCTGGACTCTTGTAGAATCAGGCAGATGGTTTATATTTCCCACACTGCTACTCTACAATGATAATTGGTGCTCATGACGACGCATCTACCACTGACATCCTGAAAAGATTTTGAAGACCGATTACGTGTTACATTTTCTGGCTCTTTTATCTCTTGAAAAGTCCTCTGTGATAGGCCTGACAACATCTTAGTGACTCAGAACTCCCTTTTCTCCAATCCCTGTCCACATTGGAGTGATGGAACCTTTGCACATAAGGAATGATCCCATCCGCATGCTGTCACTGTGTGTATTTCAGATAGGCTCTGCAGTTCTCTTTTCTAAATGTTCCAGCGATGTCCAAAAGAGTGCCCACGGTTCTCAAGGGGGACTGCAGAGGTGGGGCTGGTGTAGCCAGTTTATTAGGGCACACAGTTAAAGTTGAGGGACCAGGGAGGCTCCTTGTCCTGGTTTCCTTGCCTCACCAGCTTATTTCCACTTGACCTTAAGAATCCAGGAAACAGCCGTGTGAGGCTGGAGAGCCCCCCGTCCCCCCAGAAAGGTGAAGGTGAGGGAAGAGAGTGGGAATGTGTGCAGAGCCCCGCTGCAGTCCAGTCACTCACCCGTGTTGGTGCTCACTGCCTGGTGTTGTTTGCCCCTGTGGTGGCAAGGGGACTGGCGGTCTCCCCCCAGCACAGGGACAGCTGGTGATGGTTTGGGTACAGCCTTGCAGGTCTTCGCGTCTGGACAGGTCCCACAGAGTCTTTCTCTTGTTTGTGGTGGGAGAGGCTCTGCGGTGCGTTGAGGCTACGTATGCATCATGGTGGAGTGTGAGCTTTTCTCTGATACCGCATTTCTTTTTTTCTTCCTGCCCATGTGTAGCAAGACACGAAAGGCGACTACCAGAAAGCGCTACTTTACCTGTGTGGGGGAGACGACTGAAGCCCGACATGGCGTGAGCATCCAGAAGTGGTGCTCCCCATGCTTCCAGCTAACAGGTCTAGAAAACCAGCTTGCAACTAACAGTCCCCCCGACCCTCCCTTGAGGATGACGTTAGCATTGCCCCACCTTCTTTTAGTTGCCTAAGCATTGCCTGGCTTTCCTATATAGTCTCTCTCATAAGCCAAAGAAGAGAACATTCCAAGAAGTTGGAAATGAAGTCTACGATGTGAAACACTTTGCCTTTCATGTACTGTGTCATAAACAAATGAATAAACTGAATTTTTACTTTAGAAACAAGCACTTGGTCACCTTGGTTTCAATTTAATTGTTTAAAAATTGAACTTGCTTAGGGGTTGTGTTGCTCTCCTGGTAAGGCTGCCTCTAGAGGAAGAAAGCTCTGGAACTGAGCTCACAGTGGCCACTCTCCACATGTGGCTATTTAAATTAAAAAACCAGTTCCTCAGTCTCACTCTCCACATTCCAAATGCTCAATATCCATGTGTGGTTAACAGCTAGAATATTGGACAGTGCAGGTGGAGAACATTTCCATTATAATAGAAAGTTCCATTGGATAGTACTATATGCCTGGGGATGGGAGGAGCCATGGGGGAGGAAAAATAGCCCAGAGTGTCCCTCACCTGCTCATCATTCTACAGGCCAATTAGGTGAAAACAAGCAGGAGTAGCGGCCACAAACTGGGGTGGTGGCTTCTGTTTAGCAAACATTGCAACTAGAAGTTGCAAGTGTTAAGTCCTTAGACTTGTAGTAGTAAATGATATCCTCCCTAACCTCAAGAACTCACCTTTCAGTGAGCCAGGCTGCAGCATTCTTGCAAAGGATCTCTAACAAAAGTGGATCTAGAGAACAGAGAAGAGGGTGCTATCCATTGGGGGGATTGAGGATGTCAGAGAGAAGGAAACATCTGCCCGAAAGTCTAAGGTGAAATTTTACAGCTGGGAGGAAGCTCTCCATGGAGATTCTTATGGTTCTGATAATGAATGACCTGTCTTTCTGACAGCTAGTACACGTGTCAGAAAGTACAAAGGTAGCTGGGTATGGAGGCTCGTGCCTGTCATTCCAGCCCTTTGGCAGGTGGAGGTGAGAGGATTACCTGAGCCCAGGGGTTCAAGACCAGCCTGGGCAACTTGGCAAGACCTGGTCTCTACAATAAATCAAAAAATTAGCTGGACACGATGGTGTGTGCCTATAGTTCCAGCTACTTGGAAGGCTGAGGCGGAAGGATGGCCTGAGCCCAGCAGGTTGAGGCTGTGGTGGCTGTGATCATGCCTGGACAACAGAGTGAGACTCAAAAACAAAACGAAACAAAAAACAAAGGAAAATACAAAGGCTATAGAGTGACTTTATGTAAGTGACCACTATGTATTGATGTATCTGTGTTCATAAATGATAAGGACTTTGTTTTTTTGAGTCTGGGCCTCACTCTGTCACCCAGGCTGGAGTGCAGTGGCACCATCATGGTTCACTGCAGCCTCAACCTCCTGGGCTCAGGCAATCCTTCCACCTCAGTCTCTGGAGTAGCTGGGACTGCAGGCACATGCCACCACACCTGCCTAATTTTTTTTTTGGTAGAGATGAAGTCTCACTATGTTGCCTAGCTGGAATCGAACTCCTCGGTTCAAGTCATCCTCTTGTCTTGGTCTCCCAAAGTGCTGGAATTACGGGTGTGGTAGCCTGTGGACTCCTTTCTATATAAGCACTTTCCCTAAGCAGGTGTAGGGCTGGGGTGAGGGGAAGTGGACAGCTCTCTCCTGACCCTTGGACTGTGTGTCCTCCTCAGGATGCTGTGCCCGCTGCTCATTCTTGGCACCTGGCCAATGTGGGGCACACTCAGTCATCCACCGGGACCGGGAAAGGAGTGGACTTGAATGTATGAGATGGGCAAGTTAGACAGATGTGGGGAATCTGGGAAAATAGAGAACGCCTACCCCACTTTAGACATTCAAATTTGATTAAAACAACTATAGTAACAACAGTACAGTGTTGGCCAAACCACACACATCTGTGAGCTGACTGGCTTGTTATTCTGACCCTTGGGCAAACTTATGTTGGAAATTCAGATGGAGCATGGCTCCTGAGCCCCCGAGTCCCAGAAAACACCTGGGAGGCCCCTGAGGTATTCTTTTTTTTATTTTTTTATTTTTGAGTTGGGGTCTTACTCTGTTGCCCAGGCTGGAGTGCAGGGGCATGCTCACGGCCACTGCAGCCTTGACCTGCAGGGTTCAGGTAATCCTGTCTCAACCTTCCAAGTAGCTGGGACTACAGGTGCGTGCCACCATTCCTGGCTAATTTTTTGATATATTGTAGAGACGAGGTCTCACCAAGATGCCCAGACTGGTCTTGAACCCCTGGGCTCAGGCAATCCTCTGGGCTCAGGCAATCCTCTTGCCTCGGCCTCCCAAAGTGTTGGGATTACAAGCGTGAGCCACCGTGCTCAACGAGATATTCTTTAAAAAGCAGGTCATGCAAAAATAAGGCACTTTATCAAATGTGTCCTGCTATACATATTAGAATTGATGTCCCAATTCCCCACAATATCCTTTTCTGTGTGCTCAGGGCAGAGTTCAAGGAACTGGATAAGAAGGACCTTTTTGTTTAACCCCAAATGATCATGTTGAACTTGGAATTGATGTTGCAGATCAGCAAACGCTGGGACTTTGTTTCCTCTCACCCATAAAAAGCATCACAGGCTGCCGAGGGCATGGATGAAGGAAAGAAAAGGCCATGTGGTGAGCGTGGGGGTCTTGCCTCCACTGTGCCCAGGACAGCCTAGCCACTGGGCTGGCTGCTCTGGACCGTCCGGTGGGTGTGAGGGAAAGTCCAAAAGGCAGGCTGGCCGGGGAAAGGCTCTAGGAGAACCTACCCACATGCTGCCTGCTGTCTTTGCTCTGCGTGGAGCCATGGCTGTCTTGCGTTTTCCAAAACTGACGGCAAGGGCACTTGGAATGTGATCTCATTTTCTTCTGGATTTCAGCCTGTCCTCAGTGAAGCTGGTCAAGCCATTTCTTGAGGTAAAGAGAACCATTTGGAGATGTGAATGTGGTCCCCAACAATTATACTTTGCAAAGAGAAGGAGAAGGGCCCTGGGCAGGCTTTATTATTTTGTGAGTTGATAACAAGAACTTCAATTTCATTATCTGAGGACTAAAAGGCAGTGGATGCAATGTAGCCATGAAGACTTCCTGTACTATGATGACATAGTGAACAAGAACAAGATCCCTATCAGTCCCCGGCCCGGCTGGTGTGGATGCTAGGGCTGGGCAGGGCTATGTCGTATGACTCCAGAGATCACTCCTAACATTGTCATGTGTGTGAATGGCATCTCTGCGGGAGCTGGGCAGTGCACAACCTGAGCAGGCACACATAATGGCTGTATACTGTGACCCTAGGCGTGGGTAAGATGGCCTATTAGGCCTTTTGTTATAGAGTTGGCTTCCGGATTAAAAGTTAGAAGTCAAACGCCACTTGGAAACAAATGGGTGAACCCCTAGGAATCTTTACTTTCCCATGGACTCCTGATCTCCGGACCAGCTGTACTGGGCCATGCACTCATGATTACGTCTATGAATCTTCCCCAGAATGCGAAGTTCCCATGGTATAAATTATGAGTTAAGATAGCTAAAGCGGGGAAAACCAGGCTAACAAAATGGCTGCATTTAGCAAGAAAAATGACTTGAGGACAGACATCTTTTAAATCAATTTTTAGTCTTTAAATGACTCCAATCTCCAGGCCTTTCCCTATGTTTTGACAAACAGCTTTGGCTTCTTATCCACATCAGTTTATTTGACCTCCTTTTTCCATCAGCTACCAAAATGAAAACTCCACTGTGAAAGAGAGAGAGAGATGGAGCAATTTTAAACATCCCTTAGCAATGAGGCAGAACATGCTATAGCCATCAAGTTCTAGTTGTTCATTCTATTTATTGAAAAAAGCTTGTAGCCTGATTTCTTTTATGCGAGTACATTTGAGCAAGCAAAGTTTATAGAGATGACTTATCTCATTACATTAGAAGAGTGATTTGCTATCTCAGCATCTATAAGCAATTTTAACAGACATTTCTGGATGAAGAAAAGATTTTGTAAATATATGCGAAAGACACAATTTCATCAAGCATTAAATTGGAGGTGCCCTGGAAAAATATTACATTTGTGCATTCAATTAGCTTGATTGTGGCTGGATTTTGTCCACTGAAGGCAGCATTTCTGCAGAAAAACAGAAGCATTCCCTTTGTCAGCAGGTTTCCCGAAACCGAGGAGCTTGCTTCACCCCTTGCGAGTCCTCCTTTGCATTTGTGCCGTTCCCAGCTCTGTATCCTTCATCAGGCCACTCTGTCTTGCTCGCCATAGTCGAGCATAAGATGAGCATGAGCCTGAAGCCACTTTCTTCAGTGGCCCCAACGGAAATCCAAACCCAACAATTCCAACTTCAAATAGACTGCGTCAAGTTCAAAAACTGGGTGAGCGCTGGGTAAAATTGGGAAGGACTCACAGGTGGACTTAAGTCCACTGAACATCCCTCCTGGCTTCCAGGAGGTCCCTCTCTCTTTTCAGGGCCTGCGGGATGCTGTTTAGCCTTGGTATGGCTGTTAGCCCATGGCCCTTTCCTTGAGATAAGTTTACGGGATTGGTCTTATTTTCTATCCTGGAATAGGAAATGAATGGTTGGAATCCAAGAGGGTTTTCTGGAGCCCCTAAAATCATAGTGAAATAAATGAGCTTCATGCCAGGTGCAGTGGCTCATGCCTGTAATCCCAGCACTTTGGGAAGCAGAGGCAAGAGGATTGCCTGAGCTCAGGGGTTCAAGACCAGCCTGAGCAACATGGCGAGACCTTGTCTCTACAGTAAATCAAAAAATTACCCAGGTGTGGTGGGGTGCTTATTCCAGCTACTTGGAAGATTGAGGCAGAAGGGTCACCTAGCCCAGCAGGTTGAGGCTGTGGTGGCCATGAATGTGCCACTGCACTCCAGCCTGGGCAACAGAGACTTGGACTCCAAAAAAAAAAAGAAAGAAAGAAAAGGAAATGAGCTTCATATTGAGGACAGTCGCAAATCTTTTCCAGTGGACCCCCCCCACTGCCTTGCTGACCTATAGTTGAACCCATCCACTTTCTCCTAATATGAAACAAACCAGAAAAGACCTATGATGCCAACAGAACCTGGCTGTAGGGGTGACTGGTATTTTTAAACAGTAGGTGAGGAACTAATTGGAAATTTCTCAGCTATAATCCGTTATAACCTAAGGTGATTATACTTTCAAGTAAATTTCTAAAGATTCATT